GAGTTGAAAGCAACATATTTAAGAGATTTCATACCCTAACCTTTAAAATCAGAGACAAATTAAGTTTAAAAAAATCATGCCCGAAAAGCATGCATTTATGACTGACTGTTCGTATGAAACGAAAATGCGAAAAAATGGATATTAAAATTCGACTGCATCTTTCTCGGCCATACAAAAACGCAAATCAATTTTTATACAGAAGTACAAACGCGTAGAAATATCTTCCTTTTTAAGTTCAAAATTTTTTAAGCTTATGCGAAATAACTTTTTTATAAAATAACTAACTTTTGGGCTCATGGAATGACTTTCTTTTTAGGATTTTTTAAAACTTGTCTCAAGAATATCGCTTCCTCGCTCATTTTATGATTTTAATTAAAGTCGCGGAATGCATCGGATAAAATAAATTTTTTCTTCAAGAATAAAATGGTCATGCAGTACCTGATATTTTGCGTCTTCTGCATTCCGTTTTGTAGCTTCTGAATTTGTCATTCGCTGTGGCTGCACGATTCCACCTGTAAGAAAACAATAATTTGTCGAACGAACAGCAATCTTAATTCGATACCGTTTAGGAGAAACTCAGCAGCCAAATACATTAATAAGGTAAGCCGCGCACAAAAACAGAGTGTGGTCATTTTTTCTCAGTCCTAAATATGTGCATAGGTTGTTTTACATTATCTGGCCATCACAAGACTTTTTACCAGAATCCCGAACCTAGTTTAAACAGTGAAAATTTGTCGCTGGAAAAGATTCGTTATAACAGAGCTTTGTCCCGCGTATTCACAGTAGTTTACTGAAAAACGTATAACTGCATAGCTCTTGGTGTACTCAGTTATGTGGTGCTCTTTTACAGACTGGTTCCTAGCTTGTTAATGACCTTTAGCGCACATATTCGGTCTCAACGAATTTCCACCCCACTAACACATTGCTGCGTGGCTGCTGCATCTCGACTTATACGTTTTTGTATTTTATACAAATGCAAGAGCGCATATTGACAATTTTCTCTTTTT